CAAGCCTGTGAATTGTGTGAAATGCTGAGGTCCATGTGGGCCTACACTTAGCAATGGAACTTCTCCCACAAAATGTATCTTTCAGTGGCTAATATTGCTGTTACTACAATTTGAGAGCCTCTTAGTGTCCAAAGTTTGAATCATTTGCTGATATTTTTTTTTGCACAAAATCAAAAATACCGGCATGCTACCGGCAAGACATGCCAGATACCACGAATAAACCTGCGGTAGTGAAAAATTACCGGCATGCCGGTAGTGCGGTAGGGAAATTTTGCAACTCTAGTAGGTAGGTAGGTAGGTAGGTAGGTAGGTACACCAGACTGCTATGGACACTTTTCCAAGTTGGTGGGGCAAAAAACCTAATGTATGTCTTGGTTTGAGTCGTTTGATTGAGTTGATTGATTCCTTTCATTGTCGCGTTTGAGTCGATTGAATCAATTCCGGAACACTGCTCTGACTTGATTGATTTGATTGGTTTCCCAAATTTGTCGTGATTGAATTGATTACTATTGATTGAGTGGTATACAACCCTGGATGGGATGCATGACCGCCGAACCGCCAACGGCAAACTGCGTTTATGTATAAGTAAAAAAAAAAAAATTTAAACGATTAGTTTCCGTGGTCGTTGTACTTACTTCCACCATCCATCCCCTCAAAATATGTAAGTTTAGATCAAAGTACCTAGCACCACAATGAAGCAAACAAAGACAGACAAATTATTTCCGGCTACAGAATAACATTACATCATCGGGTGCCACAAAGAGGTCTCGTGCCAAACCAGAGCGCACACGTCACCCCGGCGGCTTTGGCAACAGTGGGAGCTGTTGGTGGGCTGCAAACTGGCTGGAAAACCACGGGGGCCAGGCCATCCGAGCGCTCAGTCCCCCGCGCCTGTCTGGGACGGGAATAGCCGACCACCTGCCCTTGAATAGCTGCCGGATGGCTGCTCGCTGTAAACGGCACGGCAATCAGCCGTAATTGCAGCTGCATACGGCCCGTAGTGGACCGTCATGGGGTATGGAGGTGAGGGGTACCGTCACCCTCCATCGGCCCCTCTCCATGGCTGGAGTTCGTTTAGGCGCGGAGCCCCGTGAAAAGTCAACAAACAGGGGTGCGTGGGGAAAACAAACGCCGCCCCTGTCATATGATAGGGTCAACAAAGGCGTGAGAAAGACGTTCGCATGCCAAGGTTGTAGCCTAGGGACGACTGTAGGTGTTAACGTGCTAACCTTACGTTAGACGGCACTGGAATTCACGGCATGCAGGTCCGAGTCGGATTTGTGTGCATCACGCTGCAGGGACTGAGGGAGAAACTGCGCTCTCATGAAACGTTCTGGCTTCAGTAGACGATCACAAAGCCACATGGCGTGAACAGTAAACCGGCGGATACGGATTGTCCGTGTGAACTCGCAACAGCGAGCCGGTGTTTATCTCGTGACTGACCTTCACAGGAGTGGTGCTGGCGGATGAGGAGCGTCGGCGCAGCTTTCCCAGGAGACCTCCGCCCTTCTCCTGGCTCTTGACGGGAGTCTCCTGACTCCTGGTGGACTCCGGGGTGTTCCCAGGAGTCTCCCTGATGGGCGTATCCTGAATCCAGACATCTGGCTCCAGACTCACCGGTCCTTCCTGACTGTCCCTCACGGTTTCCATGGTAACCAGTACCAAACAAACAACAGTCACGTCTCTCTACTCAGTCCTCGCACCACACTTTGTCCTCAGCTCAGAGAGTCCGCCTCGAATCAGCACAGCAACAGAACTGAATGTTTTGCGGCTCCCTCGCTTAGTTCACCAATCACCACATTGCTATGCTCACACAGCTCAGGCAGACGGCACTAACCGACGCGTGCACCACGCTGTGCACTGCACGCTGTGTGCACGCCGCTCGCCCCTGCCGCCGGCGCTCTGTGCACGCTCCACGCCGGCCGGCCGGACGCCACCAACTGATGCCCGCCGCCCGGCGCGCTCCCCGCCTCCCCGCCGCCGAGTGCTGAGGGCGGACACGTAATTCCAGCTCCAGCGGGGGAGGGGGGAGAGGGGTGCGGGTGAGTCAGTCAGAGCGGCCCGTCCTCCCCGCGGCCTCGCCTGGCATCCCGGCGCTGCAGCCTCCCTCTGTACCACCCCCTCCCCTTCCCCAGTCGGCCAGGCCCAGCGCGATAGGATGGAATGACATGACACACGGCGAGATAGGCACGGTGTGATGTGGTTTGTCACGGTCTGACCCGGCCTAACCCGGCGCACCACGGTACGAACTGGCACGAATGGGGCGGCAGGCACAACAGAATGCACATTTTACAACACAGGACACCGTAGAATCCGCATTTTACAACACAGGTCACCAAACGACGCAGGACAGACCTCTAATCTATGACCGGACTGAGACGACAGGGGGCGGTTCTGGACAAGGATTTTGGCACCCCTCCCTGCACCCACCCCACCCGCTCCCTCACACTGTCATGGGAGAGTGCCGAAGGGCGGAGAAAGAGAGAGGGAGACGAGCTGCTAATGGTCACGAGCGCGGAACTCCGGGGAGACGAGAGGGAGGAGCCGAGGCCAAGAGCGCCCCGCGGTGCACGAAGAAGGGAGTGGCGTGCACATGTGCCGAACGACTGCCTGGAACGGGGTGGGTATGCCCCGGTATGGGGCTGGTCACGTACGCTTTCGGCTTTGGAACGGTATCACGTGGTGTCGGGCTTCTTCAATTGACTTCATGCATGAAGTGCTAGGCAAGTGCTGGGCACATGATGGTTGGATGATTTCATTCGCGCTCATTCAGCTTAGAAATATATTTATAACAGCCGATATGCGGTTCTACTTACTATTTATTAATATCACATTGAAACACCTTCAAGAATGCTGGTTAAACGATCAATAAGTTCGCTACTACACAGAGTTATGCACTGCCGCTCATGGTATGGACGGATGGCAGCGCCCCATCGCCATGCGTTCCAGGTGACATCACCTCGCGGCGACAGCGGGGCTTCCCGGGGTCAAAATACCGCCGCGGGCGCTGAGGTCACCCCGCCCGATCACCAGTCACGACGACCGAGGTCACCGGCGCAGTGGGCCGGGCGCGCCGTGCTCCAAACTCGCCCGTCGCGCCCGGCTGGGCGGCCAGAATGCAGCCACACCCTGCCGTCCGTTCGTCCCGCCCGCCCGCGACCTCCTGCCCCCCGCCCCGCCCCCGGTCTGTGACCTGCAGGGGTGCTGGGTCAGCCCGGTACCGCCGGTCGCTACCCGTTGCTGAGCGATGACGCCTACCACTCAACAATGGCACTCTGGATTGTCAGTCATTCTGACGCAGCTATGACGCCCGTGACGCAGCTGCATCAGTCCTGGAGGAAACTGGGCAACTGGGAAACACACGCGGTGACGTTACGCCGTTTGCCGTCCAAAGGAAGTTTATCCGCTATATGAACATTCAAGTATACTGTGCACTGCACGTAGGTTAAGCACTTCCGTGGCTAAAGCGGATCAAAACAATGAATGGGTAATGGCTCAAGTTCGTAAAAAATCAAATCAAACACATCGTTGGATTGCGTCAAGCTATGGTAACATGATAACGAAAAACGCTACGCAGTGTTTAGTGTGTGTTGTATGTACGTAAGTACGTGACGCCATAAATGTTGTGCTGCTTTTGGCCTGGGAACTCACAATCGGGATGTACGACAAAACTCGGTTCGGGCTCGTGAGCGTTGCGCTTGAAATACCTATATAGAGCTCTGCCGCATCACGTGCCTACACGATTTACGTAGGTGCCGCTTTTACAGCACTACCTGCAAAACAAAAGGTTCAGTCGGCGCTGCGCAGCGCGCACCTACCTACACCGTAACCGCAAACCAGGATCGAGCAAATAGTGCAGCTCGACTGCGGCCGAAGGCTGTATGCACTACACGAGTACACTGCTGTGTAGTGCATTTGTGCACTAAATGCATTTGTGCATTTGTGCACAGTTGCTATAGTAACTCCACCGAGCGACTGGTTGTTTGACCTTTACCTGGTGCCAAAAAATACGACACTTATTGTCCTAATGTCAGTGAGTGGAAAATGATAAGAAATTGGTTAGATGTGACTGAAGTGTATGTATTATTACATTACTAAGGTATTTTCTAATTACGGAGCGAGCGAAGCGAGCGGAGTCTTACGTAGAATAACGGAAATTTCTGAGTATGAGCGGCCGGCCGGCCGGCCGGCCGTGGTCACGCTTCTGCGACGCTTATATCTCAGCAACCACTTGACCGATTTACACGCGGTAATTTTTGTAGGGTAGCTTCATTCCTTCTACCAAGTATTGGACTATTCCCGATGCATGTGGGTGACCCCTTATGCACGTGCCACGTGCAAAACGAAGAGGTGTCAGTTTTGTAATTGTTGCAATATCTCGGTAACTACTTGGCCGATTGCGCTGAAAGTTGGCATGTAGGTAGGCACCCACTAGGCACTGCATATACATGTGCCAGAGTTGGGGTGCTGCTGCACGTGCGCACGTGCAGGGGTCGTTTCCAGATCTCGGGAACGACTGGACCGATTGCGCTCAAATTTGGTACACGGTTAGGGACCGGTTAGTAGGGTGCCGTGCACAAGTCAGTTGGGACCCAGCTTGCACGTGCGCACGTGCAGGGTGCCGCTTCCAGATCTCGAGAACGGCTGGGCCGATTGTGCCCAAATTTGGCACATCGCTAGAGACCAGTTAGTAGGGTGCCGTGCAGAAGTCAGTTGGAGGTACCCCCTCGCAATTTCGCACGTGCAAGGCCCACCCTCTCGCTCGTTCCGTTAGTCGCCCCAAAAGGCGTTATACTGGTGAATATAAAGATGCTGTATGCGTTTAGGAAATAGAACTGAAGGTTTCCACCAAACTTCCGAAAATGATTTTCGTTGTATGGAATTAGCTATAATGGGAGTTGGACGACCGACGATCTCGCCTTTCTCGCTTCCACTGCAGAAGAAGACTGGCTGCACTCTTGCCAGTCTGTTGTTGTTGTTGTTGTTTCTCCCTCTGCTCCTCACGGGAGCATAGCCAGGCGGCTCTGGAAGCGTCTGGCGGCGGCCGCCAGGGCCGCCACCACTGAGGTCTCCCGGACCTCCTCCAGCCTGGGATGGATGTGACCCAGGGTTGAATGTCTCAGTCGCATCAGGGCCGGACATCTCAGCAGCACGTGTGCCGGCGTGTCAGGCTCCTCATTGCACAGGGGGCAGCGGGCCGCCACACAGCCCTCGTCGCGGCAGCCCTCACATCCCACAGAGGGAACGGCCCCGATCCTGTGCAGGTAGGCCCTGGAGCCCGACCAGTGCCCGGCTCGCAGCTGGTGGACGTCCACCGCGCGCTCCCGGTCCAGCCCCGCCACCGGTGGGGGGAATCGGCCCCCCATCAGCGACCGGAACCAGCCGGGGGGCCAGGCCCGGACCGTGTCGTCGCGGGCGGCCCTAGCCACCGCTCGGGTGATTGTCCTGATGTCTGCAGGCACGCTGTCTTGTGGTAGTTCCGCGGCCTCTCGAGCCACTCTGTCGGCTCGCTCATTACCCTCCACACCACAGTGCGAAGGGACCCACTGGACGTGGATCTTCCGGCCATTATCCGAGAGGGCGAACATGGCTCTCCAAGCCGCTACCCCCAGCGGGGAGGTCTGGGCGGCCGGGCCGTTGCGCAGGGTCGCCACTGCTGAGAGGCTATCCGTGCAGACCACGATAGGCAGGTCCTGGTCTCTGTCTCTTTGGGTTAGGGTCTCCAGGCCGGTCACCAGCGCAACCATCTCTGCGCGGTAACTGGAACATAGCTGTCCGGCCGGGACCCGCAGCTCCTCGGTCTCTTCATCCGGCCAGACCAGCACGGCCCCAGCTCCGCCCCTCGAGACTCCGCCCGCCGCGGACCCGTCCGTCCACAGCCAGACGGCGCACTGCGGCAGGGACGCGAGGTGCAGGGCGGCCGCGCGCTCTCTTTCCGCCGCCGCGGCGCTGGCCCGGAGGGGGCCCACGTCCATCCGGAAGGTGACGCCTGATGTCTGCCGCCACGGCGGTATCCGAGGGGGGAGCACCGGCTCCACCGGCAGCGCGACTCCGGCCTTCTCCCAGGCCAGGCGGCCCCGCTCTCTCCACCCCCGAACTGAGGCCAGGCGCGCCGGTGCCGAGGCCTCGGCGGTCGCGCGCAGGGGGTCCCCCGGCGGCAGGGCCAGCGCCCTTCCCAGCAGCCTGGCGGCCAACGTCCATCCCCTCTCCTCCATCGGGGCTAGTCGAGCCTCCGCCATCAGCGCGTGGGTCGGTGTTGATCGTGGACACCCGGTGATGATGCGGGCCGCCCCCCGCAGTTCCCGCTCCAGGAGCTCCACGTGCGAGGGGGCGGCCGCCGGCAGCCACGCGGCGGCGGCGTGCTCGAGCGCCCCGCGGACGTAGCCGTTGGCCACCGTCCTCAGGGCATCCTCGTCCAGGCCCCAGCTGCGTCCGCCGAGGCGGCGCAGGTGAGCCAGCCGGGGGCGAACTCGTTTCCGGAGACGACGACAGTGGGCACCGAACTGGAGGCGGCGGTCGAGCTCTATGCCGAGGAGGACTAGGGTGTCTTTCGCCTGCACCGTCTTTCCTGCCACCTTGATGGTGCCTCGGACGGCGTCTCGGGCGTTCTGGGAGAGCACCAGTACAGGGTCCGGCAAAAGTCTTGTCGTATGTGGTATTCTAGTTTCTGTGTCTTCCCAGGCGCGTTTTGCCCCACCCAGCGTTTTGCTTTGAACGCCATTGTGTCAGCGCATCTATTGTGCCCCGGGGTATGAGACCACAGATAACCTAAGGGTCAGCGGCTGATTGTGCGAGGTCATTTGAGTAGCGAGCGTGCAGTTGAAATGAAGGCTGAAAACACCATGGTCAAATATTACGATGTCAGTCTCAGGAATCGAGCCATCGGCATGATTCAAGCGGGAATGTCGCAAAGTCTGGTCGCGAATAATGTCGGCGCCCCTCTCCGACCAGTGCAAAGGTAGTGGAAGCACTTAACACCCACCAAATCGTCAGAATGGCCGCATTTGGGCGCCCGACGCAGCCAGTGTGCCCACAGCTCCTTCCGTCAAATGCCCAGCGAAGTTGATGGTGTGGGGGATGATGTCGCATCAAGTGCTCAGTGAGCTGCTCCACGTCATCCCGCCCAAGACGAAGGTGGCCACCAAGTATTATGTGGAGACCATCTCGGAGGAAATCCCAGAAACAGCTCTGTTCTGAACCGACGAATGGTGGCTGAGAGGTCGAAAGCCATCTTCATGCAGGAAGGGGCTCCAGAGCATCGCTCTGCCACAGCCCAGCAGTGGTGCTGAGACAACCTGCCGCACTTCTGGGTGAAGGAGGAGTGGCCGGGGAACAGTTCCGACCTAAATCCCATTGAAAAGCTGTGGGCGATCGTCCAGCAAGACCTCGACAAACAGAAGCCAGCAACCAACCTCGAGCAGCTGGAGACGCAGCTAAAGTCTGCGTGGTCACGAATCCAGCCATCTGTGCTCTCCATTCTCGTGGCCAGTATGCCGAACCGTGTTCGCAAGTGTTTGCCTGTCCGTGGACAATACATTGAGCGCTGAACAACTTTTTTATTTACAATGGCTTGAAGTGTGGAATGGTTTCAAAAATACGTCAAGACTTTTGCCGGACCCTGTAGTTGGGTTTTCTCCCCGGCGACCAGCATCTTGTTGTGGTGAGCCCACGCGACGAGGGCGTCTGCCGCTGTCTGCGCTCGACCTCTCGCCACCTCAATGGTGTTGCCCGAGCATAGAACTGCCGTGTCGTCGGCGTATATGTAGGGGAGGTGCCCGGCGCTCGGAGGGCCTCGGCCAGGTCTGCCGCCCACAACAGGAACAAGTAGGGCGACAGAACACTGCCCTGGGGCAGCCCGGCGCGGAACATCCTCGACTTGGAGAGGACTCCTTGAACTTCGACCCTCGCTCTTCTGTCGCGTAACCATCCCCATACCCACCGGACAAGGCAGAGGGGGAGGCCGCTCTCGAGGAGTTTCAGACGCAGTAACTTGTGGTCTACGACGTCATACGCTCTACTGAAGTCGAAGGCTGTCAGGAGGAATTTCTGTGCTGACTCTCCGTCCTGGCGTTTTGACCGTTTGTCTCTCTTTGGCTTCTGCCATCCGTCTTGCACGTCTTGCACAAGTCTCCCGATACTGTCCTCCGCCGATCTTCCTGCTCTGAACCCCACTTGTTCGGGGGGGATGAGTCGGCGCTCTTCGGCCAGAAACTCCAGCCGGGGGAGTAGCATCCGCTCGGCGAGTTTCCCTACACAACTGGTGAGGGCAATTGGCCGGTAACTTGACAGGAGCCTCTTATCCTTCGATGCTTTCGGTATCGGTACCACGGTTGCCGAGCGCCACTCTTGGGGGACCGCTCCTGTCTTCCATGACTGGTTGATGAGGTGGAGCAGTGCGCTCCGGGCCACCGGACCAAGGTGCCGCAGCATTTCAGGTGTGATGCCATCGGGGCCGGGGGACTTGCGCAGTTGTGTCTTCTGGATGGCTTGAGCGAGTTCCTCTTCAGTGAAGGCCGAGCAGCACCCGGTGCGGTCGTTCTGGCACTCGGAGCATGTGTGTCGGTCTATCCGGTTCAGCCGCTCCCGCGCCGCTCGGTCTATCTTGGGACTCCTCACTTGCCTCGAGACAGTGGCATATTGATGTGCAAAGGCGTTCGCCTTTGCCTCGGCGGAGACGAGAAGTCGGTCGCCGGCCTTCATCGCTTCGCCGTCCCGGTGTTCGTCATCTCCTCCTCCCTCCCACTTCTTGAGCATTCGGGAGACTCGACCGACGCTGGACGGGCGGTTCAGTTCAGTGGTGACGAATTCTCGGAAGGACTCTCGAGAGACTCGTGCCTCCACCTCTGCTGCACGCTTCTTGGCATTGATCCAGCGCGTCTTGGATGAGGGATCTTCGGCTGTCACAGCCCGTCTCGCCGCCTGTCGCTCCTCCGCCGCTCTCAACACATCCGGATGCAGGGCCCATGGCTTTGCGTCTCGGCGAGCACCTCGGGGGATGTGTCTCTTCCCGGCTTCCTGGAGTGCGGCTGTGAAGCGAGAGGACAGCTGTTGGACCGTGGCCTCCGGGAGGGGCGGCTCAGCGAGGGCCGCCTCACAGCTCCCGCGGAACTGCAGCCAGTCGGCCTTGTGGTGGGCCCACCGGGTCTTGCGCCTGCGTTGTGGGGGTTCCGACACTCCTCGGAGCTCGACCACCATGGGTAGGTGGTCGCTCCCGAGGTCCGGGCCCCGGCTCCAGCTTGCTCTGGTCGCCAGCTCCTGACTGCAGGCTGCGAGGTCGGGCGCCGTCTGCCCGCCCGTACGGTAGCTGATGAGGGTCGGGTCACCACTGTTGAGTGTTGTCCACTCGACGTCCTCCATCCAGCTGGCCAGGCGGGCGCCGACTGCGTCCTCTTCCTCGCAGTTGTTGTCCCAGTCTGGGTGGTGGGCGTTCACGTCGCCAACCAGCAGTGTCTGGCGGGTGGCCGGGAGGCGGCACGGCTCGAACCGGTCTTCACGTTCGTCGTTCGTCGACCTTATAGGCGGTCGGTAGATGTTGATGATGTCGATCGGGGTCTGGCCGAGGATCCTGACCCCACAGACTTCCGTTGAGTCGTCTCCATCGGCCAGAAGAGGTCCGTCCATGACGGAGAAGGGCAGGCCGGCGCGCACATACATGCACACGTCGCCACCCCTCACCGCCGCGCCAGAAGTCCGGCCTCGCGCTCGGCGCACGACCACCGGGGGCTGAAATCCCGCGAGCCTGGGGGCCGTCGTCTTGGGCAGCTGAGCCTCCTGCACCGCTATCACATCCGCTCGCACCGTCGGGAGCCAGCGCTGGAGTTCCGCTTGTTTAGGGCGGAGCCCCTCCGCATTCCATGAAACGACAATCATGTGGCTTCTCCGGCACCTGTTGCGGCGGTATCTTCTGTTTTTCAGGCGGCGGTGACGACGGCTTCCACGCCCGCGGGCCTCCCCACGATCGGCGCCCCCCATCCCGACGGCGCTATCGGGAGGGGGCATGGCCAGTTGATTAATCATTCAGCGGGCCGGGGCCGCGGCGCTCTTCGCACGGCGGCTCCCAGGCCCGGAGACTGAGTTGTAGATCCGAAGAGTTGGAGGAGGTCCGGGAGAGCAGCCGGTAGCGACGGGAGGCCGCCCCCAGCCGCCCCCCAGAGAGGGCACGATGACTCCCGTTTGGTTTCCCGGCGTCGGAGTCGGCCGTCGCCGGGCGGGCCCGAAGGCCCACACCCCCCACCACTGGACGGCGGGAGTCTCCAGGGGGCCAGTCTGTTCGTCTCCCCGGGAGATGTGCTGACCTGCAGTGATGCCCTTTACAAGATCTTTCCCAGGGATACAAAACATCGCTGAACGCTAATTTTGACATCTAATCCAGCACAGATCCGTGCTTTTATTGCAGGGTGAAAAACATTCCACTATCCAGACAAGCATAACGTCCTGCCTATAACCTTTCGAATTGCGAGCCGAAACATATCAATGATGTCATGGACAATGTGCACACGTGAAGCAAAATATGCAGTAGGTAATGCATGCTGCAGTCAGGATACAACGGCTTTCTTATCGAGAGCATGCAAATCAATTTGGCATTTGGCACGAATCGGCGATAGTATGCCGTTAGCGCAAAAGAAATTGCGCAGCGCTCAGCAACAAAGAGATTGTTTGACATACCATTGTTCTCTTCAGCCGAAAACTGACGCATCACATGTGCACTTTCATCGTGCAATGTGCATTGTGACTGTGCTGGGTCGCTTTGACATCAAGCAGCATGTTCAATAGGTAGGCATGTAACTATAATACACCACAATGAATCATGCGCATGCACTTGTTCTGTGCCTAGTCAGTCAGCCAAAGAAAGATCTGACCTGTTGCTCAGTGATATAAAAACCACAATCATGTAGTTTTAATGGCCCAGGCGAACCTCTCTGCCGGCCCCTCTCGCTGACATCTGCTCCACCCGTCTCAGCGACCCGCCCCCTGTGTGTGTATGTATAAGTATATATCCGGCTCATGTATCCATGACGAGCCGCAGCGGTCGGGCGCGACTGTGGTCAGTACAGTTACCATGACGACAGGCTGACTCGGCGTATCCTGCCGGTCATGTGACCCGGGGACCTTCTGACACTGTCCAGTACCGGGACCGATGTTATGCCCTCGGCGGTCGGCGGCTTCTCCGCTGCTGACATATTAACGCTGACTGCGGACCTCCTACGCAGTACACAGCCGGAAGGGCGATGAATCTGCTCGCCTGAGCTGAACGATACTGAGAGCAAGTCGGCGGTATGCGCAGCGGAAGAAAAAATGGAGGCTTTTGTTTAGTTAGGCATGCAATCATTCATAAAACCGATGCTTGGAATACCCAAAACCGGTAGACTACAACGCTGACATTAAACGTAACCCAGTCCTGCTTTACTTTACTTCCTCGTACCCTCTATCAAACCACTGATGCCTTCCTCCTCATGCAGCATGACGGGCAGTTTCCGGACCGCATTCAGAGTCCTGTTTAGTGTTTAGTGTTTAGGATGTCCACCCTTCTGGTTTGTCATGAGGCGGAGATGGAAAGCAGAATGTTCAGCAGGACAGCGCGACAGGCCACAACACCTCGGTGGGCATTGGACAGGGCACAGGGCGCAGGAGGGGACGGGATAACCAAAACAGGGTCGGCCCTGACATCGCTTACGAGCTAATGTCACAGCTCCGGAATAAATTCACTGATTGCTGAATGCCTAGTAATGCGGGAATCCCGAGGTAGAGTGCACGAGCCATGCGACGACCATCGCTGCCATCCTCGCTCGTGTTTTGCACTGCAATGTAGGTATATAGATGCCGTCTATAAATGCCATGCAGGGCTGGGATTTTGAGAGCAGGGGATCCCCGTGCAGTCACGGAGAGTCCGCCGACTGAGGTGCAGGGGAGAGCCGACCGGTAACCTCCCGGCATTCGCGCAATGCCGGGCCCCACGGCAGCAGGGCGACACTGGGGCTCTTGGTGCATGGGCTTGATTAGCATTGCACTATATGTTAGAGCACTTCACGGATAGGCTTTTTAGGATCCGGCCCGGCCCATATCCGGCAAGTCATATCCAGATCCGCCCATTATCCGCCTTTCTTTGAATATCAGAATCCGGCCCACCCATGGCCCGTATTGCAGCCAAACTTCCAAAAAATATCCGTAATAATCCGTTTCACCAATAACTGGTTTCACCCAAAACTGGACTAACAAATTCAATCTAAGGGACCAGACAGCCATACATCTCACAGACCATGGTTCCAAAAACCATGCTTATAAACCTAAAACCACATGAAAATCACCACATTGGTAAACTAGGTATCAATTTTTAACTTCAATGTTGAATGTTAAAATTTTGATCCGTTTTGATCCGGGTTCAACCTTCAATTCCCAAATCCGGCCCGCCCATATCCGTTCTTTTTTAACAAATTTAGAATCCAATCCTATCCGGTCCGCGGATTTATCCGTGGATAACGGATTTATCCGGCCCATGAAGTGCTCTACTATATGTGCATTGTGTATGAAGCAAGAGCAGCATCAGGCCGGGAAATAGAGGCGCTGCATCATGGTTACAGCCTACAGGTCGAATGGCTTGCTTGTAACGCATATGCCGCATTTATGGACCCTTGACTCACTCAAAACGGCATCTTGCAATGACTGGTATAGTTTCTTCGCGAGAAGAGCTGTCAGGCCTACAGCTTCGAAGATACAGAAAAATGACAATACATAAAAGGTGTAGAATTGACAGGGCTACAAAACTGCTATCTCGGATTTTTTAAATTTTTCAGTTTTGACCCCCCAAAATAAAAAATGCCATTATTTTGATATATTAGCCAAAAAAACAAAAAGTTTTTTTTTTGAGTTTCGAAAAAACCGGAATATATGTGATAGTACCTACCATCTTCTATCTACATACCAAATTTCAGATCGATATCTCGTTTTTTTTGCCAAGTTATAGCGAAAAAAACTGTGCAAAAATGATGACGTTAAATTTTCAAACTCAATTTTTGGCAATTCTAGACCACGTAGGGCAAAACAAAGACCACCATTGGACTCCCCGTGACGAGCTGCATCGAATAAATACCCATTTTATGCAAAAATATCAACTTTGAAATTTGACCTAATTTGACCTGACCTTGACCTGACCTTGACCAAAACGTGACCTAAGCTGGCTCCAAAGGCTGCCTGACCCGCATAATTGCATTTGTCATGTAAAATGGACCATAAAACATGTATCACACGACACTTTCATATTTTGACCCCCGGTGACCTGACCTCGCTGTGACCTGACCTGGTATCAGTGACCTCAGATAGCAAAGTATGTGTTTGACGAACAATGTACCATCGATGGTTTTCAATAACTTACCAATTTACTCGATTTCACAACACATATCTTGAAATGCCTGTGAACGGTGAAAATCTGACCTTTGACCTGACCTGTGACGTCATCGGTTTGACCTAGGTCAATGAAATTTGGTCACAAGGTAGTTCCCGGGTGGGGCTATCCAACGCCGTTTGAATTTTGAAAATCGGCCGGTAAATTTCCGAGATCGAGATCTTAGGGGGGGGGGGTGCCGAAACGGCCCCTCCCCTACGGCTGGTAGGGTCCGCCGGTAGCCCTACGGGGCGCGGGTTAACCTTCCAGCCGGTGGGGGGGGCATTTTTTTGCCCCCCCCTTTAGTTTTTTTTTGATATATCTCGAGAACCGCTGCGCTGATCGTCACCAAACTTTCAGTACCCTCCCGTGAATAGCTATTGCACATTGTGACCAAATTTTTTTCCAAAGGCTATGATAGGTTTCCCGCTAATGACGTCAGAGTGACATCATTTTTGCCATTTTCGACAAAAAAAGGTTTCGCGGGAAGAGCTGTCAGGCCTACAGCTTTAGAGATACAGAAAAAATGTTTCAGACATAAGAGGTGTAGAATTAGGAGGGCTACAAAACTGCTATCTCGGATTTGTGAAATTTTTGGATTTTGACCCCAAAAAATAAAAAATAGATTTTTTGAATATAATAGCCGAAAAATCCAAAAAAATTGAATTTGGAAAAAAAGCAGAATATATGTGATAGTCCCTACCACGTTCTATCTACATACCAAATTTGATATTGATACCTCTTTTTTGGCCAAGTTATAGCGAAAAAACTGTTCAAAATTGATGACGTCAAATTTTCAAACTCAATTTTTAGCAATTCTAGACCTCGTAGCGCAAAACAAAGACCACCATTAGACTCCCCGTGACGAGCTGCATCGAATCAATACCCATTTAATGCAAAAATATCAACTTTGAAATTTGACCTTTTTTGACCTGACCTTGACCTGACCCGTGACCTCCACCAGAAAGTGACCTAAACCGTACCTGATGGTCTTATAACCAACACCATTGAGTTGGAAATGAAAAACTGGCCATAAAACATGCTTCGCACAACCTTAGTAAAGTTGGGTTCATGTGGTGACCCTTGGTGACCATTGGTGACCTGACCTGTGACCTGACCTGGTATGACCAGTGACCTCTGATAGCAACATATGTACAAGACAACTGACGCCCTATCGCTGATTTTCGACAAAATGCGTTTTACTCGGTGTTATAGCGCTTTCCCCAGAAGCCCTGTGAACGGTGAAGCATTTTATCTTTGACCTGACCTGTGACGT